AGTAATTCATGTTTCTCACCAACTACTGTAGCTGTGAATGTGAAGACAAGTTCTCAGGATCTTTTCATTAGGGTTCGAGAATCGAGACTAATTCCCAGAGATATCCAAAATGATTATACAAAAAGTTTATTCAAGAATTTAAAGTAAATGAAAAAAAAAAACAAAATAAAACAAAAAAACAACAACCAAATGGTGGCTAGCTGGGCACAGGCTACATGAGCCAAAGATGGAGTCTGGCCCCGAACAGTAGCAGGCAGGAGCTTTCATTGGGGTACTCCATAGAAACCTTCACTTGCCAAGCATATTTTTAAAATAATTGGATGTCCCCATATCCTGTGTATGGGAAAAGTCTTGATTGGTAGGGGCTGTCTTCAGGGCATTGGAATGTGCTGACTAATATCTTTTAGAGTCAGAAGTTTTTGTTCATACCTTATAAGGCTTTTACACGTACAATACTTGTCTAAAGGAGCTAGCCAAAATGGAGTCAGAGCATTCTGGCTCTTCACTCTTAATTTACACACACAAGCTATGCTAGAAAGGAAACTCCTGAGAGCAGCAGAAAGAACAGGGCATATAAATCAGTGGTTGTTCGTTTGAAAGCTTATGACTCGCCTGAGCAGTGCCTGTGAACTTTTATGTATAGTGAAATGTAAAATGGTTAGGTCTAGTTAGACAAGTAGGTGCCTGAGCACTGCATGCTTGATAAACAAGAGGGCCTAAGATCAAAATTTTGATCTCCTTTGCCTGAGAAAAAGTTTAGGAGAAAAAAATGGCTTTTAAAACGTTTTACCTTTGTCCATAGGGCAAGCCTCCTGAAATTCTTTAAATGCTCCAGCAAAATTGCCCAGCTGGTTTAGGCTAGTTGGGTCAAAATAGATAGAAAGGGTCCCCTAAAGGTTCTTAGCCACATTTATAAGATAATTTAAGAATGGGCTCAGCTGGAAAGTTTTATCATTTTATTAGAATGTTAAAGAAAAAATCTCCAGGGCAGGCAAGTTGGCAATATTGGCAGCTCCCTGGAGGGGGTGAATAGATAGAAGGAAAACAAAGCCTTGGGGTCATGCAGGTTTAGCACCTGCATGGGAGTTCAGACAGGTGGTGGGGAGTAGAGAGCTTTAGTATGGGAGGGGGAGAGAGAGGAGAATGATCCAGAGCATTTGCATGTGTAGGAAATCCGTAAGTACTTAGAGGAAAGAGAGCCTAAAGGGTAGAAGCAAAGGAGAGGAGACCTAAAATTGGATTGACCAGTATCAGAAATCATCCTGAGTAAAGTGAGGAAGAAAGGCAGTGGAAGAGGACAAAGACAGGGAAAAAACGATGGAAGACAGCAGACCTTCGAGGTCCATGGCAAAAGGGGGGGAGGGGGCAAGATGCTGGGGAAAAGGGTGGGGGTGGAAGAACTGAGGTAGTGAAAAGATGAAGCAGCTCCCTCCCTGAGGAGACCAGTGCCCCCCAGGAGTGACATAATTAAATGAGAAAGGAGATCAAAAGAAGACATAGGAAAGGCAGAGTATGTTCCATAGTGAGGAGAGACATAAAGTGAATAGAAAGCAGAGAGCCAGGGAGTGAAGGAGAGAGAAAGGAAGGGTGGAAGTGTACCTGAAAGCCAAATTAGTGATGTTAGAGAAGTCCAGTCAGAGGGCTTGTACAGGTCCCTTGAAGTAAGAACTGGATTTTGGCACAATCTGATAGGTAAAATAGCCATAGGATGAATGAGGTTGTTCTGGAGAAAGCACCAGGACACACATAAAACTCCACTGGAATACAGTTTATTAGCAAAGGAACATATGGGACAAATTCCCTTCCAGGCAGGGAAAAGGTCTGCCAGAGTGTGAGCTGGAGTCTTTCTATAAGGGGAGGTTTTGGGGTGTGCAGAAGGTGGGAAGATATATTTTTTTTTAAAGTTAGGCTGGTGTGTGGGGGATGCAGAGAGAGGGACTGTTAAAATCTACCCTCTTTAGAGATCAAAGGGGAAGCCTGCTGTGTTGGCCAAACAGTGGAGAAAAGTCTGCTTCTCTTGACTTCAAAGACCAGGGTGCTTATCAACTCAGTTTCCCTTTCACAGGGGCTTACAAGGTCTGTGAGTCCCTCTTGGTGAGGTGGGGGGGTATCTGAACCTTAATAGATAGGAAAATAATTGGTACTGCCTAGGGTGTAAAGCAGATAAGAGAAGAAAACATTTTGCATAATTAGAACTTATGGTAAGTATAATTTTAATATATGTGGTAATAGAGAAGATGCTTGGAAAAAAATTGCTGCTAAATTGTTCAGTTTAAAATACTTATATCATGTGTCTTTTTTGTTCATTAGAGTATTATTATTTTAAAAATATTTTATTTATTGTTTTTCATTTTATATATATGAGTGTATTGCCTGCATGTAAGAGCATTCATGTCATGCAATGTCGGCAGAGATCAGAACAGCATGTCAAATAGCCTGGAACTGGAGTTTCCTTGGGTATTAGCCACCACTTGTGTGATGGGAATTGAATCCAGGTCCACTGCAAGGGCAGCCAGTGCTCTTAAGTGCTGAGTCATCTCTCTGTCCTCTCATTAAAATATTGTAAAATAAAATTTGATATAATTTTAATCATTTCAATTGTGACAATTCATTTTTGTCTTCTAATTAAAGTTCATGATTGCATATCTTACCTGCAAATTTTCATGCCATCTTTAAATTACTTTTGTGTAGTATATGCAACAAAATAAAAATTAAAGTTAAAAATTGTAAAAATTAAATTTTGTGGATTTTGGTTTATGTTTCATATTTAGTATAATCATAAGCTTTC